AGGCGCCCTCTCGCATACCCTCTGGTATGGTGAACCCCCGCATCCGAGCAAGCTACTCATATTCGGCCAAATTGGCAGGGTCTCGACGCTCACCGACAAGACGGCCAGGAAAAATTTGGGCCCTCGATCTCACCCCGAACGCTACCTATACGCGCTTGACACCAAAATTATAACGGTACTCAACACACACGACAACGTCTGCCATCGCATCCGCGCATTAGACTTCAAGCCGTACAACTGATTAACGGACCCCATCTGCAATACTTCCGCCGCCTTCAAAACCATCACGTCCCATCGGACACCCACCACGGTCACCCGCTTCACCCCGGCGCCGCTAAAAACCACCCAGGCGCGAGCTCACCCCGACACCGTGGCCTGGGGAGCATCTCACGACGCTGAGCTGGACCAACTGGACAACAAAGGGCCATCGCTTGGATCTCCGACGCCTCCCGCATCCCCAACAGCCCCCGCCCCCTCCCGCTCAAGATGACCTACCGATACAAGCGACACAGCACTGGCGGTATCGCAATACGCAAGGCTCGCTGCACCCTCCGTGGTGATTAAATGCGGCCTCACTTCCATTACGACAAGGACAAGACCACACCCTACATGGCTGACAAAACCGCCGTCCGCCTACTCTTCGCAATCGCCGCCACATTCAACCTGCCCCTCGAACACCTCGACATCGAGGGGGGATACCTGCACCTGCGCTTCAAGCACTCACGCCCCGTCTGCATCAAACAACTGGCGCTCTTCAACGGCGTACTCAAGCAGAGCGGACAATTCGGATACTCATCGGTAACCTCTACGGCGGGAAAATTACTGGTTTCCTTTACCTCGAAGGAGCATTCAAATTTCTTCGCTCCGGCGGCTTCAAACAGTCAGAAAGCGGACTCTTCCTATTCTCACGCACATCCCCAGCTGGATCTATCTTCCTGGCCGTCCGCATGGACGATTTTGCGATGGCGGCGTCCAACACGTCCGCAGTCGACGCATTCGTCGCCGAGCCCGCTACAAAATATACTGTCAAGCGCCTCGGCACACCTACTCTCTACCCTGGATGGACAATCGTGCGCAACTCTGGTGCCTCGCTGCACATCTCGCAGGCGGACTAAATCGATAACCTCCTCTCCAAGCTCCGCATGAAGGACGCCAACGGGAAGCCCTCCCCCTACCCCGACAGTGTCGTCCTTCACGCCCCCACGCCTAGCAACTCTCCATACCCCTCACGAACCGCGCTATTTCAACAACCCTTCGGCGATCTACGCTACATCGCCGACTGCGCAAGGCCTCATATTCACCTTGTCACGAACAAACTTCCCTGCGCAATGAAAACGCCCACGAAACGGCACTGGTCAATCCTCAAACGCGTTGCCCGTTACCTCCGTGCCAAACAGTGAACCGGCATACATTTTCCCAACCGCCTGGACAGCTCCCTAACCAGCTTCGCCATCTCCTCCCAACACGCCACCTCCCCTCCCGGCGGTCTTATAACGCACTCTGATGCCGACCGCGCCGGCGACGCGAAGGATCGCAACTCCATCAGTGGAATCGTCCACCTCTTCAACGGCGCACTCATCAGCTGGATCTCTGCGAAGCAAACGATCAACCCATTATCCACGTGCGAAGCGGAATATATCGCCGCTACAGCAGCAGTCTAACAAACACAGTGGCTACGCCGGCTGCTCTCCGACATTGACATGCTCCCGTCCTCGCCGACGCCACTGTACATAGACGATCAAGCCGCTATCCAGGTAGCCAAACAAACCGGCCCAACGAAGAAGCGCAAGTACATAGACCTAAGACGTCACTACCTACACCATCGCATCAAGCACGGGAACATAACCCACCACCACGTGCCCTCTGCACATATATGCTTGGTAAAGGGGTNNNCTAGCCGACCCCTTTACCAAGCCCCTAAAACCCGCCCCCTTCCGACGCATTATCCGTAGGCTCAACATGCTCCCAGCACCCGGTTGGCCACTCCCTTCATGACCGCTCCGCGACGGGGGGAGTGTTACCTTACACATAACTCCATAGTCGCTACGAAATCAGACCCCATGTCGACGCTCCGCTGCCTGTTAACTTACACATAAGCCACGTAGCCCAGCGTGTATGCGGCAACGCGAACAGCCGTCGCTGTACACCTTAAGTGTAGGGCGACGGCTCACCCCCGGGGGGAATAAAACGTTTATCGGGTTCAGAGTATCAATTTCCCTCTTTGGCTGTCAAGAATCCAAACAAGTGGAACAGTGTAACTAAAGATGACACACTAGTGCGCCATGACCTTTGAAGAGTCAGTAATTGATGCAAAATTTAATGCCACGTCTTACGTGAATCAATCATCTCTGCAACTATTAGCTGTCTGTTTCGCCTTGGTGGGCAGCCGAGCAACTGCTCGTCACTGTGAAAGGCTCCGCACATTTTCTGCAAACGCGTTCACTGGCTACCCAGCAGGCACCGCCATGCGCCTCATTCTTTCTTTTCGCACAGCACTGGCGAACTTTAGTGCATCGAT